GTGTCAAAATAAAGCAAATTTCCATAAAGTTCAAACCACATGTTTCACGAATGATTTCAAGGCAAAGATGTATTGATGAGAATGAAAACTACTCCATGCAACTAGAAATAACTTTCTTTTAAAGGACCACAGACGGTATTGCAACAGATTTCAGTCATATATTGGATTTTGGCTATTTTCTGAGGATTTGAACAGGTGCATACACTCCCCTCCATAAGTTTGGCAACCCTTTTCCCCCATTGAACTACGTGTTAAAGCCTCTTTACCTTTGAATTTTTATTTACTTAACCTGCGTTGAAAATACTTATACTATTGATGGAAACGTAATTTTACTTTAATTCCAATACCTCCAAATTTTCTCAATTTTTTTCCTCAATTACACTAGGTCGGAAATTGATGATGAATTTTTGAAAATCGACATTCCCATGTTAATCAATGGGAAATGGTAGGTTTGCCGCAAGTCATATGACAGAATATCCATCCATCCGAGTCCTTGCAAAAAATATGAGTTAGGCAGGTAATTGAATTTGCTAACTTTATTTAACAAAAAATTGATATGTTTCTTCAGGTTCAACAAAGTTATAGGGCTTTAAAGTCAAAATTGTTTTTCAAAAAACCTCTCCCATTGAAATAACACAGGAGGCGAAAAATTCTTTTCAAAAATGACTTTGAAGCGCTGTAACTTTAATATTCATCAAATAAACTAAACACTTAGTGTTCAAAAAAGTTAGACAATTCAATTTTCTATATAAACATATTTTTTGCTGAATCTTTTACTGAAAAGATATCCTGATTTCTGATTTGCCCTGAACCCTCCATTTCCCATTGGATTACATGGGAATGACGATTTTCAAAAATTCATCAAATTTATCATCAATTTTCGACCTATTGTAAATGAGCAAAAAAATTGAGAAAATTTGGAGGTATTGGAAAAAAAGTCAAGTTACGTTTCCATCAATACTCTAAGTTATTTCATCGCCGGTTAAGTAAATAAAAATCCAAACGTAAAGAGGCTTTAACACGTAGTTCAATGGAGAAAAAAGGTTGCCAAACTTATGGAAGGAGTGTATGTTAGGCCAATGCATTAACTCCAGGACAAGCAATCATAGAGATTATAAAATAATTTGGACTTTAAGTCAGGGAAGGTGCAAATTTGCACCCCATCAACATGTTTTTTCTGTAATGTTGTCCTGATTTCCAGCCCTTTCCACACCTGTTTTTCAATGTTTGTTGCATCGATCACTCTGTTGCGTTTTAAATGAAAATATGATTCATGCAGGGGTTTAAAAGATTTTGAATGACCAAAATTTAGCTGAAAACAATGGATCACATGAGTTTTCCCTATGGGAAAATAACATGGGAAATACATGTACAGTTTTCCACTTTATCCCAAATAAATCATATTTTAGAGGTTAACTGTGTCTCAAAACTGTGTCTCAAAGTGCAACATATTGGTGCATCAAACATTGAAAAAACATATGTGGAAAGGGCTAAAAATCAGAACAAAATTTCAGAAAAACCTTCCCTGTCTCAAAGTCCAAATTATCATCAATTGCTCAATCAAATTGCTTGATCTGGAGTTAATGCATTGGCCTAACATATGCACCTGTTTAAATCCCCAATAAATAGCCGAAATCCAACATATGACAGTTTGAAGACCAAAAAAAAACCTTTTGCTATATAATGCTATATTAGCATTGTGATGCGTGTATTAAAACATGCGCTGTATGAACACTTTATACTCAAATATTTTAATGATTTATCCCACATACCCCGAAACACGAGTAGCCATAGTGACCATATTTTTCATCAAAATTAAGATGAGTCAACGTCGCCAACGTGCAAATGCCAATGTTTTTGCTATAAATCAAGCAACAATGGTCTGTACGACCTGTAATAAATATATAAGCAACGTTTTTATCACTTAAATCCCACTTGGGTAGCAACACAATAGAATTTGCTGTGGTTTATTTTTAAGAATGTATGGTTTTATCAAAAGTAAAGTGCATTATTTTTCTATTGTTTTTAAAGAATGTACACTTGGCAAGCTATCAAAAACAAGTGAGACATAAATGACCATTGACAGTTTTTGATAGTTTTCATTCCCTAAAAACAATATACAAAAATACATGTACCCTTCTCTTGTTACTGTGCATTCTTTAGAATAAAACAATTTATCAATTTTTGTTGCTATCTACATCATTGATCTTATCTTACTTACAAATATTCTGCTGTATTCAAATGCAATGTTCTGGACTGGACAGTCACCTGTAGTGCACTGAAGCTAGACTAATTATAGCCCACTCAGTCACTCACTCATGAGGTCAATGCAACCAACTCTTTTTGTTGTTACAATTAATTGGCTATATAACTACATGAACAGTCAACTCAAAAGAACTCACTCACTTACATGTATCAAACCACTTACCCCTACATGAACAGTCAACACAAAAGAAATAAAATTTTCCAGATTAGATCATTGACCATTTACCTGCAATATACCATTTACCTGTAATAAGAATGTGTGTGATTTAAGTAAGATAAAGCATTCGAATTCGATTTGATAAGAAATAATAACCTCAGGCCTTCGGCCTTCGGTGTATTATTTCTTATAAAATCTCATTCTTATGCTTTATCCAGTACAAAATTCTTTGCCGGTTTTTTTAAATAATTTTCCAAATGATAGATAAAAATAATCGAATAATTGAATGGAGGGGGGGGGAAGGGAAAGGAGGGGGGGTGGAGTAATATGTATTTAAGGTGGAAGAGATTTCCACAAATTCGTGTACTTGAAAAATGAACTCACTTACTCAGTAACTTGATGTTACAACTCTGAGAAATGAAAAATGTCTTATAGACATATTACTCCCCCCTCCGTTCAATTTTAACGTTAGATTTTAACGTTAGATTACTTTTTATATATCGTATGGTAACGTGTTTTACAAAACCAATGATGACAATAGTTTTGTGATAATTACTTCACTTACAAGTATTTATTACAGGTCGTGTAGACCCCTGTTGGTTGATTTATAGCAAAAAATTGGCATTTGCACATTGTCGACCCTGCACTTTTTTAATAGATATTTTAAAACTCCACAGTTCAAAAAAATCCAAGAAGACCTAACATACGAGGGGTGATCCAAAAGGCTTGGACGCCCCGCTTTAACTTTGCTACTGTATTTTCTAATATAATTACATGAAACTTTCAGATAATAAAGATAAACATCTGAACAACTTTGTGTATAAGTTTCAATAGAAAATTATATATTTTACTTATTTTTCTAAATATTTTTTGATACCGGGTCCTTGCTACCCGGAACGGTATTTAATTATAAGAAATCTCGTCACAACTGTTATAATATGGCAAATACTTTAGGTGCAGGTGCACAACCTAACACCAGTCATGATATGAGAGATTTTCCGATTTTCAATCTGAGTGTCATCTGCCATCATCCTCACATATTAAGACCTACTTTTCAACATATTTTCCACGAATTTGAACACATTTTTCATACCGCTTTATCAATGAATGAAAGATATTTATGAAACCGCCATTGTTTATGTGATACAAATGCTGCTGGAGTGCCACTCTTAACCTCATCCAATGAGTAAAAACATTTTCTTTCAACCCTCCTTTCAACTTGGAGAAAAGAAAGAAAATCACACGGAGCCATATCTAGACTGTATTGTGCCTATGGTAGTTGCTCAAGGTCAATAATAGTGAAAATATATTGTAGTATTCTTTGTTTCACTTTGATTTCTTTCATGTTCTGCATTTCAGCAGCCATCTTGGAGCAAAAATGATACCAGAATGTGGGTTGATTGTCTGATGTCATTTTCTTAGAACTTGACATATATGGCCATTGTCATATGTGACATTATGATTAAAACACAATTAATTGGTTGCCGAGTAACAAAGGAAGTAAACTAACATGGTTTAACATTCAAAATTTAAGAAAAGATAGTGGTCAAGACTTGCAAAACAAGTCAAATAGCGGCAACATTTAAGGCTGAAATTGTCATGTGCGAATACCGTTCCGGGTGGCAGGGTCGCTAAATTAATAACTATCGAGAAAACTACATAAAATATATCATTTCACCATGAAATTAATACACAAAGTAGTTAGGTTGTTGGTCTTTATTATTGGAAAGTTCAAAGTAATTTTATCAAAAACCAACAAAATTAGAGCAGGGCTTCCAAGAGTTTTGGATCACCACTCGTATTCCCCCGTCCACTGCGTCTATTCATTTAGCCATTCAATTGTAAACTTTCTCTTGAAAAAATAAATCTTCAAGATTTGTTGAATTTTCTACCAAAAATCAGCTAGATCTACCCCCCTCCGTTCATTTCATCTGATCATCCGGCGTGATTCTTATTTGAGACTATATTTAACACCTCCTGTGAAAATTTGAATGAAAAGGGCACAAAACTCTTAGTTTGAGAAGGATTTTTTCTAAACTTACAGTATTGATTGACCTGGAATGTGGAACCAATTAGAGAGACTACTTTTCCATGTTTTTCCAACACGGTTACAGTAAGAGAGTTGGCACAATGGGGAACTTTAGGGTGCACTTTCTTCATAATTAGCCTTTTTTAATTCTAGATACCATATACCATATATTTTCTATTATACCATATACCATATTTTTTACAGCTCTTATACCATATACGATAAATTTTTCCCCCTCTTATACAATATACAATAAATTTTCAGCCTCTTATACGATATACAATATCTCTATACACCCCCCCCCCCCACGAAAGATTAGAATTTTCCAGTAATACCGAACCAAATGTCGAGGAAAAGTAAGCTCCATGTTTTTTCCTCGGATTTAAAGAGGAACGTAAGTACAAGTTCCGATTTCAAGTCAAAGATATGTATAATTTTTATAAGTGCGATGTTGATTGAAGCGTAAATGTACAAACGTATAGAGTCAACATCAATGATATAACAATATGATATATGTCCCATAAACGTTTTGTAAATTTGATAAGTATGATTCCATCATCTAAACTTGTATTAGTGATAACATAGAAAGAAGATGACACATTGGGCAACTGTCTTTGCAATTTTTGGACTTTGTTTCTCTAATTCAAAATGTCTATACGTGGATATGACCTATGATTGGTTTGCTGGACTTCCGCAGTACCCCGGACATAACCCATTCAAACTAAAGCTAGTGCACAAAGGGCCTTTTCTGGGAAGCCCCTTGTAAGTATTATTGTTCTCATGACACCTGTTTTGCTTCATGACATATGTTGGGTCTCTAGAGAGCCAATCAATTAATTTATGATCATCAATATAAAGCTTCAATATAAAGTTTTGTTCATCTTTTCAGCTACATCCTCAATGACATCGAGATGCCTGAACATACCGGTACACACATAGACGCTCCGTATCACTTCAACGAATCAGGATGGCGAGTGAACGAGATTCCGTTAGATCATCTAGTTGGTCCAGCTGTAGTACTTGATATTCGTGAAAAGATGAGTAAAGTACCATCCGGTAAGGAGCCAAATGCCGATGTCGTTGACGCTGAGACCTGGGAGAGCAAATATGGTAGAATCCCAAATGGGGCGATCGTTATCATGAACTCGGGTAATGGTAAAAACTGGCCGAATGTAACAGCGTATAGTGGTGCCAAAGACCCAAATAATAGTTCGATTTTACGATTCCCGGGATTCAGTCTTGAGTTGGCAGAATGGCTTGTCAAAAATCGTACGATCATTGGTATAGCCACGGATGCATTGAGTTTTGAGCCCCATCCAGTGATCACCGGAATCCCTGTACACAATCTTTTCGCCTCACATAACGTCTGGGGCGTGGAAAACCTTGCCAATATTGACCAGATTCCTGAAAATGGGGCCAATGTGTATGTGATGCCATTGAGGATCCGCGGTGGGTCAGGGAGTCCAGCCAGGGTCTTTGCAAAATGGAACAAGAGAAAACTAGAAAAAAGTAGAAAAGACTAGTCTCTAAAGACAATTAGATCCGATACTTTCTATAGATGTGCATCAAAACAAAATAACTGAAAATAAAACCAAATCGAACGAATCTTAAGTTGAATGGGGAGAATACAGTCTTGCTTTAAGCCCTCCCCCTCCTTTATCTACTTTAAAACTGTTGTTAAAGTTGATAAGGGGTCTAGGGTTTTGATGCTAGACTAGAGAATGTATTGCTTTGTAGAATGAATTCTGATGATGTTTGGGCTTTAGAGTCAACTGGAATATGATGTATGATATATATATGCATTGGCTTTCAAGAGTCTCTTGAAAGCCCATGATATATCTCAGCTAAATTGGGAACATAATAAGAAATTCTGTAGTTTGCCTGTACGGATTAAAAAGCTCGTAGATACTTTGATCTTCATGGTTTAGTTAAATTATAGTTTTGATAATCAAAACTACAATTTAACTGAACCGTGAAGATCAATATGGAATATTTCGATTCTATTAAAATCAACAATTCTATTTTCAACAACATATTGCATCTTATGCATCCATCTTAAATGGATAATGGGGTCATTTAGTTAAATGACCTCCTAGCGACAAGCGAAACGTTTTACAGCTTTATGATTTTAACTGCAAAATACAACGTACAAATTAGTTTTATTGATTATTATGCTATAATATCAGCTGTACCGAAGGAGTGTAAACGCTTATTGAAGCTTTGAACCGAGCCCACAGACGGATCTTATACATTTAACATTTGGCGAAAAACCAGTGTCATTAAATAGTTTAACAGTAAAGACCAACATATATTTTTATTATCTCCAAAGAAGCCCCCTGGATGAACATAATTTCAGCTGATATTCCTCTGGAAACGAGTTGGATCCTCAAATTCTATAATTGGGACTCCCCTTATAGAAGCTTTGAACTGAATTTAATGGTGAAATTTATAGTTTATTCATACATTTAAGAAAATAGGTATGTTAAAGAAGATGTAAAGCCAAATGTTGCCCTGATAGTTCAGAAAGTTCAGAAACGTTTCGAATTTTCTAACTACAGGCCTTGTTACCCCTTTAAATAGTGAACTTTGGTCTTATTACATAACAAAAAAATTCAAAACACACAAGAAGTGATCAAGATATTAGCTCAAATCTTTTGGATTGTTGGAAAATATCGAGATTACATTCTGGGAGCCAATCCTCCTTGGCACATTCGAAAACTAGTACGATGTTGATTTGTACCCGTTAATAACTCAACCATACGCTCGCTTATTCCATAAAACTGATCGTGGATACGGCCAACAGCTATATTCTCCACTTTTGATGAAAAGATAAAACCCCTTCCCTTATTTTTGTCAAAACTAGGAGTATAATATGAACTTTTTCAGTGTCGTGTGAAGCAGGATCATTTACACGGCTTAACATTATCGAAATGCATATACGTGTGGTATGTAACGTGACTTGCATATCCGAAAAACATTTCAGGAACATAAAAATACACATAAAGATCTGCATCTAATAATGCATTCGACGTTTAGAATAAAAATTGCAAAATGCATATTAAAAGCATTCTTATCGTAGTCAAATTTTTGTTAACGTTAATGTTATTTGAGAAAGGTGAGGGTAATTTTACTAAAATTCAAATACGTATGTCATCATTGGAAATACCTCCATCCTCGTTGCATTTATGTTTTAGTAATTAATCATTATCTCAAAATTTACGAAATTTATAGTGTCTGATATTGTATCCCAGGATGTCGAACGGCATAATAAGTATTCCCCTTAAGTATCACGAAAAGAAATAACATGCATGCTCGCACGTTTTCAACAAAAGCAGTTCATCCAAGCGCACTTACATCTCTAATTACGAAGTGTCAAACTTGTCGGGTAACAGCGTATGTCAACCGCGCCGGCTTGTTACTCGTGCACCACAGGAGACACTCTACTATACCTTTTCATTTGGTGTCCATGAGCAACCCATTTTGCTTATTAGTAATGATTATGTTATTTGTTTTTATTAGTCTGCCTTATATATGGTTTATCGGATGCCTGTTAGATGCTAATAAGGTACTTTCAAAAATATACTAAACAATAGAATAGGACTAACTAGGGGTATAGTAAAGTGGAGAACGATTGCAATAAACCATGACGTCTTTCAAAAGAATGATGTGTGTTAGTGCGCATGGATTAATTATTTTTTGAAAACATGCGACCGTGTAATTTGCGCTATGTTTTTTTTTGTTATTTTTCTTGATAACGAGGGGTATTCTCATTACCTATTACGCAATGCACCACCGCGGCGGGCAATTCAAAAACGCAGCATAAGTCTTTAAATGAATGTAAACCAAACGTGTTTAAATCTTTCTACGATATCCCTAACTATTGTATATTATGAACGGACTTTTTGCACTTTCTTCTACAATTTCTTTACAGTTTTCCGTTACTTAAAATCCCTCCATGAACCGGACGTTTTCAGTTGATTGTATATCAAAGCCTCTCAATGTGTGTATCTAGCTTTTTATTCCTTAATTACATTTTTCCGAATTACATTTTCAAAGACCATTTCGACCTTTAAACGCTCATCCATTAATTCATTAACTCATTAATTCATGCAATTGAATTCCATTTATCCATGCAATTGAATTAATGATGCTGATTTGCTGATCATATATATACGTTTGGGGTATAAATAATAAGGGCGTTCTATTACACAAGCATTGCTCTCGGCAAATCTACAAACATGTACATGTGCGGTGGCGTTCTCGTGCTGTTCGTGGTATCCTTGGGAAACGTTGTAGACGGAGAGGGTAAGTAGAGATAGTATATCATCCAATTCAAACAGGGCAATCTTATATTAGTCATGGATTAGCAAAATAAATATCGATATGATACCCTTTTCAAATTATTTTTGTTCAACTTCAATACAGAAAACCTCTTATGACTCCTGATTTAAAAGCTAGATCCTACTTTCAAAATAGCCGCCTTTTTGTCTCGCAAATTTCGCCTTTGGACCATTAGGTAACTTTATAGTTTTAAAACCTCTGTAGATAGGATTCCCGTTTTAAATTATTTTTATTCAAAATCAATCCAGAAAACCCCTTATGACCTCTGATTCAAAAGTTCCCCTACTTTCAAAATAGCCGCCATTTTTGTCTCACAAATCACCTTATGTAGACGGTGCCTGTGGCGAATATTTTAAGTCCATGGTATGAAATCTCTAGGACGTCTAATATAGGAGCTGGTAGGACACTATAGCGCATCGATATTTGACCTAACATTAACATACCTACATATGTTCCCTAATAATTTTTATTATAACCGTTTAATATACTTCCGGCTTTTAGATTGAATTATGCCTGCCATTAACAGAGGTCAAAAAATTACCAACAAATAAAATCCCAATTTTTCCCAATTTGGAGTACACAACGCAACAGAAAATAATACAAAATGATTTTAAATATATGATTTAGGTTTCTAAGCTATAAGTTTGATGTTATTTTTCTTATCAATACCAAAAATTATGTAATCAGTGTATCGACGTTTTGTATTGTTTCTCAGGTATTAATAAGATAAATGCCACAAATGAATCACTTTTATATAGTACTAAGAATGACAACTGCTTAAATTATGCTAGTTTTTCACAAAATGGGTCTCAATGCGTTTTGAAATATGGACTGTTATTCCGCGGTGAACATTATCAATAAAGGGGCGCCTATTGCTCTTCCTTGACTAACTTGGACTACAGCTAAAATTCTATTTCTCGTAGTTAGATATAGCCCAGTTGCTTATAAAACAACCATCAAGACTTAGTCGAATTCATGAATAAGTGAGAAAAATCGTTATTATTATCTTCCTAAAATTTGATTATATCTAGCGGTAAGGTGAAAGAAGAAACAATCATAAAAAAAATTGATGGAAGCCAGCAGTAACGTCGAGGAAGAATTGTAAGGCGTTCGATTGCATATGACTGTAATTGATTATTAGACATGCCCTTGGAATATATGAACATTCCAATACCTCTGTAACATTTAATTAGATATAAATCTTACATATTTGTTATTGTATTATGTTTTATAAAACACGAACAATAATTTAATGTTTGACCCCTTGCGATTATATGGAAAAATTGTTTTAAATGGTAAGAAAACTAATATGTTCCAATCATAAATTACCTAAATATTCCACACAACTTTGTTGAAACTGCTTGGCTCGTATTTGAAAAATTTAACAAAATCTTGAAAACACACTTGCGTAATAACACTAATTAAACACCGACATCTACAGTAAAATTAAGTATATTTTTACATTATGATGATCTATCTTTTGTTCGTATGCTTAGAATAACGGTCTGGTCTTGTGATGAAAGACATTTTCGACCCAAAAGTCGCTTTTTTCAGCAAATGGTATCTTAAAAGAATCAAGACATATGCACCTCCGATCCATAAATATTGCTTCAAATGTTGCTGCGCTATAGTGTGCTACGGATCATATTCGGAAGTCATACCATGCTTAAATTTAATGCTTAAAATGGCAGCACCATCACTTTCACCGATATTATCAAAATTATTAAACAAAATGTTCATTCTTAATAAATACCCCCAATCATGGAAGGTAGGCCACGTTGTAGCAATTCACAAAAGTAAAGACAAAACAGATGTAAAAAATTATAGACCTATAACTCTCCTGAGCTGTATATCTAAGTTGCAGAACGCGTAATCTTCAAAAGACTTTTTGACCATCTAATTGTGAACAATTTATTTATAACCTCCAAAGTGGCTTTTTGCCAGGTCACAGTACCCAGGCACAGCTTCTAAGTATAATTGATGTCGTAACTAATGAAATCGAAAATTGGGCCAATGTAAGGGGGATTTATCTTGACATTTCGGCCGCCTTTGATTCAATGCCCCATGGGCTACTATTAAAAAAACTGAAAATGTATGGTTTTGGTCATAACATCATAGAATTAATGAAATCGTACCTATCAAATAGACAAGCGAAAGTTGTATTGGATGGCCAAGAGTCTGAACTATCTGAGATGAACCATATAAACGCAGGAGTACCTCAAGGCTCCATATTAGGCCCCCTCCTGTTTCTAATTTGTATCAATGATCTACCTGATAACTTAAATACCAAATGTTTTATATATGCAGACGACACGTCACTTTACCAATCCTTCACAGCTGAAACAGCAGCTGCTAAGAATAATGAATTACAAGAGGATCTAAATAAAATTCTCTTATGGTCAAATACATGGAAATTAAACTTCAAAGCTAGTAAAAGTAAAGATATGACTTTTTTAATCCAAGAAAGCGCGAAATTTTGACCCCAGATCTTTCCCTTGGTAATGACAAGTTACCAAGAGTAAACAATCACAAGCACTTGGGCTTGATTTTGGACAAAAATCTCACTTTTGACTATCACATTACTGAACTTGTAGCAAGAATAGATAAACTCATAAATCCGTTAAAAGTCTTCAGTAAGAAAATAAGTGGAAAACACCTTGAAACAATTTTTAAGTCTTTTATTTTGCCACTCTTTGATTATTGTGACATTCTTTACGGATGTGCAAATTTGACAAAACTACAACTTTTAGACCGCCTTTACTATAAAGCTGCACTTATTTGTTCAGGTGCCATGCATGGAACATCAGCCACAAAAGTGTTGAATACTTTAAATTGGCCCACACTCTCAAATAGACGTCAATATCATAGAGCTACCTTTATGTATAGAGCTCACAACAACTTGCTGCCTTCTTATGTCACTGAGATATTTGAACCACTAAAAAGAAATCAAACACATGAACTAAGACACCAACTTGACTATATTTTACCAGTTAAATCCAAATTTTATAAAAGATCTTGTATCTCAAAAATAATATCAGAATGGAATCTACTCTCATCTGATATAAAGAACTCATCTAGCTTAAGCATATTTAAATCAAGCCTTAAAAGCAATATTTTTAACGAAACTGTTATTAACTCATCAGAATTGTCCATCTCAAGAAACCAAGAAATTATATTTAACAGAGTACGATGTGATTTCATTTTCAAGGCTCACCTTTACTCGCATAACTTTACCAATGTAAATTCCCCCATCTGCTCATGTGGTATTAACAGTGAAACAACCAGCCATGTGATTTGTCGATGTAACTTGCATTGAGATTAACATTCTGGACTGAATTAGAAAACCAACTAAAAAATATGAATATACAATACTCCCGTAAATATAAGACACAACGTGATAAACTCTCTCTGATCCTCAATGGTGATAAAACATTAAGTAGAGCTGAGAATCTGATTGTTTTAAAGTGCAGTGCCATTTTCTTCGAGCGATGTGTAAATGTCTGAAATCCTCCACAAAACAATTTTTATCTTATTGTATCTCATTTATTTTAATCAATAGTATTGATTGAATACATTGTATATTGATTTGTAGACTTGTAGAACGTGGCTAATAATGCTAAAAGCACAGCCACTTACACTGTATTTTTGTATTGTATTCTTTGTACAAATGAATAACTTAATAAAAAAAATGTCATACCATGGACTATTTGGTGCGGCAGAAATGAGCGTTTGGTTCGGAGGCTAACGGTCATTTTTTTAATTTAAATTTGGGACATTTCTGAAACTAAACTGTTTTAGTACTTCAAATATTTGAAGGTCCATGTGCAGTATGGCAAATGATTTTAGACAGTCATGTATTGAACCATGAGTACTTTCTGGGCATAATACAGTGGTTTTTAAAACAATATGTTGAGTTTCAAGTGAAGTACCCACGATGATAAAATTTCAATCGAACAATTCAAAAAGGAAGTAGTGCGCTCTCCATAATGATCTCCCCAAGAAAAAATTAATTCATCAGATTTTTCAAAATGAGTATATTGCCTTTATTATTACATATATATGCACACTAGTATCTTGTTGACCTATATTCAGCACTCTATTAATGTATAGGCCACTTATTAGTGTCAAAATTCAATCATGAAGTGTAGAGGCATAGATTCCAAACCAGGAAGTATTTTATGCTTTATCAAAATCCATTCGCATCCTACGCATCCCTACATCTTATCCAAATATGTTACTTAATAATTGGAGTTTTTGGAGCATTTTTCTAGAGCCATTTTGTAGGGAAAAAAGGATGAAAAAAATGTATGTACATTGTAATCTTTTCATTTAAAGTATGACCTAAATCGATTGCAAACTTCATATTTGCACATTTGATGAGATAAACCATTTGTGTCATATTGAGATATTATTAAGTTTGCAATCGATTCAGGTCATAGTGTATTTTTGGTATTTTTGTGATAATCAATGGAAACCAATGGCCTCTTTTCGGATCTGCTGATATCCTCATGTTAAGTCAATTATGCACAGCCCCATGTAAGTCAATACAACCTTACTGAACTAAATGGCCCCTATCTCAGCCTATGTGTGCCCAAGCACTTTAATATATGACATTCTATTCTTCATGTTACACCTAAGAATTATTCATTTTGACCATAGGGGTATTTGCCAATAAACGCACCTCTTCCTTTATGAATACGGACCCCATGTCAACATGTTGAACCAATTTACTCAAAAGAGGATCTTGTTTTTCTGGTTTTTATTGCATGAAAACATTATTCAACAAGGGGTCTAACACTTCTTCAAAAGTAGAATGGTATTGAAAGGCTAGTTTTGAAGATATCAATGGATAGCACGAGATTTCCCTATGGGAAAATAACATGGGATATGTGGGTTTTAACTTTACCTCATTTCAATACCCACCCCTTTTCAGAAATCGTTAATATACACCCTATGCAGACAGA